AAGTAGGTGCTTTAGACCACTGAGCCATCTCGCCAGCCCCCATCCTCTGGCTTCTTAATACATCCTTGCTAAACCTCTCTTTCCCACTCCACTGGGGACCACTCTGGCCACTTGGTAGAAGAGCCAGGGCACTGCGTGGAGTTATGATACAACACATGCTGACAAAAGCTACATCAGGACACAGACGCTGGCGGGTTTTCCTGGGTCAGTCCAGCATTCCAAGACAGTAACTGTGGCTGGATGTGGAGGGGTTGGGACAGTAGCTCGAGGGACCCTACAGCCAGAGGTCCCACGAAGCCAACATTGTGGCCCCTCACTCACCTGTCGCAGAGGGTCACGTGGGGGCTGCGTCTCACATGCACGCAGTCACTGTGGAGGGGGAACAGGCCTGCGAGGAGGTAATCACCCGGAAGGCTGAAGTCGGGAGACGAGGCTGTTTCGTGGCAGCTGAGAGCCCAGCAGCTGGTCAGGGTCAGCTGCAGACAGACCAGGTGAGTCACCCAGAGAAACATGCTGGCCAGGCACCCCTGTGCTGGGCATGGCCAAGTGATGCCCTCTGACAAGGATGGATGGCAGCTGCCCAGACCCTTGGCAGCTTTGTGCCCCTGAAAGGAGTGGCGCTGGAGCCCAGCTGAAGAACGTGGACTGTTTCTCTTGGCTTTCCGGGCCTGCGGTTCTACTCAGGAATTGGGCAGGGCCAGGGCTGAGATGCAAACCAGGCGGCACCCAGCTACCCCTCCTCTGGATGCTCAGGAGTTCTGCCCTTGCTGTGGCTGGAGAAGAGCGGTGGAGGGTGGGATACCACCTCCCTGGTGCTGTGAGGGGCAGGGCGTGGTGAGTTGCTATCAGGGATCTGCAGGGTGGCCTTTAGTGTCTCACTATGCAGCCCAAGCTAGCCCAGAATTAGGGTTATTAATGTGATCCTCCTGCCTCAGCTTCCCAAGTGCTGGAATGACAGGCATAACCATCCATTGAGTCAGGGGCTCAGACTGATTTTTTTTTTTCCAGAATCGGGGATTGAACTCAGGCCCTTGTGCTTGCCAGGCAAGCACTTATTCTACTGAGCTATCTCCCCGGCCCCCATCAGACTGGTCTTGAACTTCTCGGCCCATGTGATCTTCCTGCCTTTACCTCCTGGCTTTACTAGTAACTGGTACCACAAAAGATATAACAAAACAGAACAAATGATGTCCACTGTGCCTTGCAAGCTGCAGGTGTGAGAACCCTTTACCCTGGCCTCAGTTTACCAAATGAGACAGGGCTTTGGGTTGAGATTCCTCATCCAGGCCTCAGTTTTCTGGCTCTGAAATATTGGTCAATGTGAATCATGCGTGAGAGTGTTACCCAGGGTTGCTCCCTTCAGCCCAGTCACAAATGCATGCAAACTCAGGGTATGCAAATAGCCTGATTTTGTTTAAAATGGCAAACCTGGGCTTTTTCTACAGAAGGAAACAAAAAAAACCCCGGTGGATTTCCGGAGAGATGGCCACACGCCTAAGCAGTTGGCCGTAGTGAAACTTTTGCATCATGTAAATGGGGTTCAGGCTGGAGATATAGCTCAGCCGCACAGCGCCTGCCTGGCAAGCGCAAGGTCCTGAGTTCGATTACCGATACCATGAAAACCCCAACCGTGTAGATGGGGTGCGCTGTGGGCTGCCAGGTTTCCGCAGGTCGCGGAGCCCCTAGTGCACTCCCGGAGGCCGTCGGCAGGCGGCGCGAGCGGCTCAGCACCAGCTCTACGAGCAACAGGACGGGCCGCAGCGCGATCGCCGAAATACCGCGAGATTGTCGCGGACCAGAAGCCCGCGGCGCAGCATGGCGGACGCGGTATCGCCGCTCCGGCGGAGTCCGGGGCGCCCCACGTGGGTGCGGACCCGCAAGGCTCGGCCGCAGCTGATGCTGAGCCGCCGTTCCCGCCGCCGGCTCGGGGCGCTAAGCAGGTGTGGCCGGCGGCGGCTGAAGCGACGGCTGCTGCAGGCCCGGGCGGCG